GCGGGACTACTGCCTTCCACCCGCACCATTTCCCGGAGCTGAACCAGCTGTGGCAGGGGGTTCCCTTTTCGCTCAGGAAAACTGCACACGGGGGGTGTGGGGGGGGAATCCCTCTTCCTCCCGTGCCACTGTTCCCAGCTAATTGGTCTTCCACCAGTTTCCCCGTAGCTGCTGTGGGGCCCAGCACCTGACTGGCCCAAAAATGTATTGACTAGTTTGGCCCCTGGTGAGCATAGATGAGTGAACTGGCTCTCTCTTATTGTAAGGTCAGGAAGGGGTGGGGGACTCAACCCAGAAAACAAACAAAACATCTGACAGGTGTTGGAGGGACATAGCAGTAAGTTAACCTGCAGTGCAGACAAATAAAGGGGGGGGGGGCAGAAGTATAACTAAGATACAAACTACAATCTGTTTTAATCTTTCTGCAAACATAATTGGTGAATGCTGTAGTGTAATTATATTTTATTCAATTCATAGAACTGAAGAGAGTCCGTTGAGAAAGAGCGTATCGAAACGAGCGGTAAAACTCCGGGGAAGTTCGTCCTGTTGAAAAACAGTGTTGATTAAAACAGCTTGAAGTTCAACAACAAGAGTCAACTGATTCTTACAATTGTTGTTAATTGCATGCACTTCTTGCAGTATTTGTGTAGTTTCTGCAGACAAATAAGTCTTCTTCTTCTTCTTTGTTGTCATCATCTTCTTCTCCATCTCCGTCTTCATTATTTCCTGCAGGATTGGAAAGCCCGTCCCACGCTCTTCAAGCTGACGCCAACCCGTACGCCAGCTCTGCCTCGACTATCTGCATTACCTTGGCAGAGAAACACAAGTGTGACCGGAACCTGGAAATTATCTTACATCCTTGTGGTAAGACAAGCCTTTCTGAGCTGGAAAATGGTGTGATTTATTTACATTAGCTGGTAGTTCCATAGTACACCCGGGGGTCATTTCCTGCGGGAGCGCACAGGAGCAGAGCTCCAGCAATAAGGAGCCCAGGGGGCGGGCACATGCAACAAGCCCCGCCCCCCTACTCCCAGCAACCCTCAGTCGGGCCACGAGGAGCAAGAAGCAGCCAGGTAAGTTGCAGAGCCCCCCTCCCCCCGGCCTGCCGTCCGGTACAAGCTCTCCCTCCTCTGTGAGGACAGATCTGCACGTTCTCCCCCCCCATAGCTAGCAATCCAAAATAGTCCAGTGGCACCTTTAAGACCAAGTTTTATTCAGGTACAAGCTCTCCCTCCTCTGCGAGGGCAGATCTGCACGTTCCCCCCCCCCCCCAATAGCTAGCAATCCAAAACAGTCCAGTGGCACCTTTAAGACCAAGTTTTATTCAGGTACAAGTTCTCCCTCCTCTGTGAGGACAGATCTGCACGTTCCCCCCCCCCAATAGCTAGCAATCCAAACCAGTCCAGTGGAGCCTGAGTGGTGGGTGTTGCCTTCTGACACACTTCCAGTGATGCCAGGGGATGTGGCATATGCAAATAAGTTATGCTAATAAGCTCCTGCACCTCTTTTTCTACTAAATGATCCCCGAGTATACCTAGCAGAAGTAGCTGGGGGACAGCAAGCCCCGTTGTACTGAACCGTTTGATTCCCCCCAGATCTATAGTACTACCACCGAGGAAATATTCTAAGTTTGGCTTGGATCCCACAACTCTCTTCTGCCAAGTAACACATGAACACAGGAAGCTGCCTTATAATGAAATCAAACTCTTGGTCAGTCAAGGGGCTTTTCCGCATTCTGTTTTTTCTTGCTTGTGAGTTCGTGTTGCTTCGGGGGGGCAGTCTGTTCCGCACATGTTTCGCTCCCGGTCAGTTTGATATTACGTTGATTTACATCCAGCATAAAAACCTGCAGTTTAAACCTGCAGGGAGAGATACCGGACATAAAGTGAGGTAATATCAAGCTGGGTTTCGAAGAGGTAGAGGAACTAGAGATCAAATTGCCAACATTCGCTGGATTATGGAGAAAGCAAGAGAGTGAGACCAAGGAAACAAAATTTCCTGTAATACAATCTCAACTTCTAGGAAACAATTTTCAGATAGGCAATTGCCTCTTCCAGATGCTAATTAACACCTGATATGATCATCAAAAGAACTCCTTCTTTGATCTTGGGTATAAATGGTGGTCAGTTACAACAGACCCTCGTTGACTCTTGAAGGATCAGGGGAGAGGCTTATTTCTCCTGAGAATTCGGAGTCAACCCGAGAGCCTCTCGTTAGCTGCATGCCATGGGGTGGGGAAAACTGCATGTTTATTTTTCTGTGTATTCTATCAAATGTTTAGGAATTAGGACTCTGAATGTTTTGCTATAATAAAGATAAGTTTTATTTTAAGAAGAGACTAGTGAATTCCAAGCTTACACCTATGCCTTTGGTAAGGGGCAACACTCAGGAGACACACGAACTGAGGGGGGGAAAGTGTGGGTGACAGGGGTAAAACACGCTTTCACAGACATGTGCAGACACACAGAGTCGGACTCGACTGTGCGACTGAACAACAACAACAAGAGAGTACCAGAAAAACATCTACTTCTGCTTCATTGACTATGCTAAAGCTTTTGACTGTGTGGATCACAACAAACTATGGCAGGTCCTTAAAGAGATGGGAGTACCAGACCACCTCACATGTCTCTTGAGAAACCTGTATAAGGGCCAAGAAGCGACAGTTAGAACCGGATATGGAACAACTGATTGGTTCAGCATAGGAAAAGGAGTACGACAAGGATGTATATTGTCACCTTGCTTATTTAATATATATGCAGAGTACATCATGCGAAATGCTGGCCTGGATGAATCACAAGCGGGAATTAAGATTGCTGGGGAAAAGATCAACAACCTCAGATATGCAGATGATACCACTCTAATGGCTGAAAGTGAAGAGGATCTAAAGAGCCTCTTGCTCAGAGTAAAAGAGGAGAGCGCAAAAGTGGGCTTGAAGCTCAACATCAAAAAAACTAAGATCATGGCATCCGGCCCCATCACTCCTTGGCAAATAGAAGGGGAAGCTGTGGAAGTAGTGACAGACTTCACGTTCCTGGGATCCCAGATCACCGCAGACTGTGACTGCAGCCATGAAATTAAAAGACGCCTGCTCCTTGGGAGGAAAGCGATGGCGAACCTAAACAGCATGATAAAAAGTAGAGACATCACCCTGCCAACAAAAGTCCGCATGGTCAAAGCAATGGTATTCCCAGTAGTCATGTATGGCTGCGAGAGTTGGACTATAAGGAAGGCCGAGCGCCGAAGAATAGATTCTTTTGAACTATGGTGCTGGAGAAGACTCTTGAGAGTCCCTTGGACTGCAAGGAGATCAAATCAGTCAATCCTAAAATAAATCAACCCTGACTGTTTCCTGGAAGGCCAGATAATGAAACTGAAGCTCAAATACTTTGGCCACCAAATGAGAAGGGAGCACTCACTGGAGAAGACCCTGATGCTGGGAAAGATTGAAGGTCAAAGAAGACGGGGACGGCAAAGGATGAGATGGTTGGACAGTGTCATCGACGCAACGAACATGAAATTGAGCCAACTTCAGAGGACAGGGGAAGACAGGAGGGCCTGGCAAGAGCTGGTCCATGGGGTCGCGAAGAGTCGGACTCGACTGTGCGACTGAACAACAACAACAATATCAAACCGACCACTAGATGGAGCCAAACACATTCAGAATGGGGGGAAACTCCGAAGCAACAGGAACAGACAAGCAAGGGAAATGAGAATGGGGAAGAGCCCGAAGTCAGTCTTGTCGACTCAGATGGGCTCTCCAGGGTCTCAGGCAGAGATCTTTCACGATATCTACTGCCAGATCCTTTAACTGGAGATGCCAGTGATTGAATTTGGGACCTACTGCATGCCAAGCAGATGCTCTACCACTGAGTCACGGCCCCTCCCTGAAAACTGGAGATGCCAGGGACAAGGCTTACTATGGCAGAGGAGAAGATTCCTGATTCAGCAGAAGAGAATCCTAGGAGCCAAATCACTGGATTTTGAACATTTGAAGTATTTTTCTTATATTCTAGAACTCTTATACAGAACTTATCAGGACCAACGCTCCCTCTAAGCTGTGGAGTCTTGTGAGCAAAAATTCTACTTTGTGCGCTACTGGCCTTAATTTATTTATTTATGTATTTATTTATTTCTTCAAATTTATACCCCGCCCTCCCCGCAAGCGGGCGAGCGATTTGGCTGCTGCATAAATTAGTTGGCTCTGGAGCCATCCTTCCTGAGCTAAGGTGAAAATGTGTGAGCTGGAGGCTAAAAAATGGTGAGCTAGCTCACACTAACTCAGCTCAGAGGGAACATTTATCAGGACCCCCGCTGATGTTACCTTAGTACTATGGGACCTGCCGCAGTGTCTCTCCTGTGGCAATGTTGGTGTAGGAAGGAGCCGCATGGTCTGTCCTCTCACGTGACCTCTGGACTTCTGATGATGTCTGAATGGCACGAGAAGGTGTTGGATATTTAGTGGAGTAAGTAAAGCGCAGCAGAATAATGCATCACAGACACATGTGCATTTAGCTTCTAAGGGTGCGTTCAGACGGGCAGCTAAATCCACCATTAGCCCGGCTCTAATTTGATCCAGATCTTTTTTATCCAGTGTTGCACGACCAGACGGCTCCCCTTACCGCACGCATACTCCCTGGTGGATTGTCTAGATGGCATCCGCCTGACGGAGCCGCGCAGTTTGTTTGTTTTTTTAAAAAAAATTCTGTTTGCTCATGCGCATCTGTGCCTCAATCTCCACTTGTTTTTCCGCACATGCACGGAATCAAATGCTTACAGCACTGCCAGTGGTACCTCCATCTAGGTACCTTTTTAATTAGCGCAGTTCATAAAATTCACGGGCCGCTCAGAAACATGAAATTGTCCGGAATGTTTGAGCGGAGCTCTGCGGCTGTCACGCGTTTCCGCGTTTATGCGCATATCGCTTAGAATTTTTTTAAATGCTGGCCGCTCGGGTTGGTCTGACGTCAGACCATCGCAATGGGAGGATTGCACGCTGGAACAATCAGACGGGAGAAAGTCCACAATTGGCCTATTAGGAAGCAAAAACTCCAGACTTTAATTAGTATTTTTTAAGTAGGGCTCCGAAGTGCGGCAAAATGAGATGATCACGGAAGAGGCACGTTTCCCAGATGTTGCTGTCTGGTCATTACCCTTTAAATCTACCAGGCACTTGTGCCTGCACAGATCTAAAAACCCGTCTGATTTGGACCTAAAAAAAGTTTACTACAAAGTTAGGGAAAGGGTAACTTACATGGTGTATAGAAATCTTTCTATAATCCATGCCTTCTCCTGTGATTACATTCTGATAACATGCTGTGTCTTATTTCCTCTCGCAAGCCAAATGGCCAACCATTTGGCCAGAGAAACTTTATAACCATGCCATATAACCACACATTCTTTCACACCTCTAAGGGAAGAGGCAGACCTGATGGCTCCTGGCTCTGCCTCACGTGCAAAAAGTCACGTAGAAGAAGCATTGCCTACGACTTTCCACATACCAGACCGCTCTGATTCTCATGTGCATCTTTTCAATTCTGTCCCTTCAAGAACCTCATCGCCCACACCTCGTTATTGAGGATGGTGCCATGACATACCAGGAGTACGAGGCCCACATAAGGAACCGCCGAGACTACGCACAGATTGCCAAGAAAGACAGCGATGGAGAGAGACAGGTGATCAGCTGGGAAGAGGAGTTTTCTCCAGTTTGGTGTCGTGGTTAAGTGCGCGGACACTAATCTGGGAGACCCGGGTTTGATTCCCCCACCCCTCCACTCGCACCTGCTGGATGACCTTGGGCAAGCCGTAGTTCTGATAAGAGTTGTTCTTGAAAAAAGAGCAGTTTCTGTCAGAGCTCTCTCAGCCCCACCTACCTCACAGGGTGTCTGTGGTGGGGAGGGGAAGGGAAAGGAGTTCCTTCCTTCCTTCCTTCTTTCTTCTGCCCTTTCCGAAGGCTCAGGGTGACTTACAACACTAAAACAGCAATTGGATATAAAAATACATAATATATAAGAATAAAATCAGACACTGAGCCAGTTTGGTGTAGTGGTTAAGTGTGCAGACTCTAATCTGGGAGAACCGGGTTTGATTCCCCGCTCCTCCTCCATGTGCACCTGGCTGGATGACCTTGGGCAAGCCATAGTTCTGATAAGAGCTGTCCTTGAAAAAGAGCAGTTTCTGTCAAGAGCTCTCTCAGCCCCACCTACCTCACAGGGTGTCTGTTGTGGGGAGGGGAAGGGAAGGGAGTTTGTAAGCCGCTCTGAGACACCTTTGGGTAGTGAAGGGTGGGGTATAAATCCAACCTCTTCTTCTTCTTCTTCTTCTTCTCCTCCGAGTAATGGGAATGATCAGGCTGATGGCTCCAGAGGTGTTATCCCTAACATATTAGCTTTTCACAAGATGGGAGTTTTGATGCAAGGAAACGCTTTTCTAAAATTCACAGTGTTTTTGGAGTGCTTAAAGACAGGGTTTTTTTTAAAAAAACGTGCAGTTTATAAAATGTATTTTTGTTTTTTTTACATGGTTGTCAGGCAGGTTCATGAGGGAGTAGACAGTCCTTATGTTGGTCCCGGACAACATAGGGCTTTGAAGTCCAAGATCAAGATGGGCAGCCGCGTTAGTCTGTCTGTAGCAGTAGAAAAGAGCAAGAGTCCAGCAGCACCTTAAAGACTCACAAAATTGATGGCAGGGGAGGAGCTTTCGTGAGTCACTGCTCACTTCTTCAGATACTCACGACAGCTCCTACCTTCCCACATATTTTGTTAGAACCTAGCAGTTCGAAAGCAAGACATTGCAAGTAGATAAATAGGTACCACTTCGGTGGGAAGGTAGCAGCGTTCCGTGCGCCTTGGTGTTTAGTCATGCCGGCCACATGACCACGGAAACGTCTTCAGACAGCGCTGGCTCTTCGGCTTTGAAATGGAGATGAACACCGCAACCCTAGAGTCAGACTCGACTGGCTTTCGAGCAAGGGAACCTTTACCTTTACTAAGGTGTTACTGGACTCTTACTCCTTTCTACTGTTTAGCTGTTGTTAGAACTGAAGCACTGAACAAAAGTCAGTCTTGGTCTGATCCAGCAGAGCACTTCTTATAAGGCCAAACTGTCAAAAACTCTTTGAAATGCTACGTTTTCATTGCACCCCCCAAAAAATGAGGACGTCAAAGGATAAGCGGAAGAACTGGCTGAGTTTCTGCCTCTCTCTCGCTCCTAGGTGCGCTTCGTTCAGAAGAGGTTCCACAAGGACATCTTCCACAATCCTGTCCTGATGCTGAATTTCTGCCCCGAGGTGGGCGGCGTCTCCACTGATTTCCAGACTGTGACACGGGAAATGCTGTTCCTCATAGACCGAAGTGGAAGCATGTGTGGCTGCAGCATTGACGGGATCAAGGTAAACACAGGAGGGTGGGCATCGAGGGAAACCTGACCTAAAACAATATCACAAGAGAGCTGAACAGAGAGATGAGGTGGCCATGGCTCAGTGGCAGAGCCTCTGCTTTGCATGCAGAAGGTTCCAGGTTCAATCCCCAGAATCTCCAGTTGAAAGGACCAAGTAGTAGATGATGTGAAATTTTTCTTTTTGTCAGCTCTCTCCACCCCATGCATAACTTTATAAATTTCTATCATGTCCCACCTTCGTTATCTCTTTTCTGAACTGTTGGTCTCTAAAGTACTACTAGACTTGAATCTAGCTCTTCTGCTGCACACTAACATGGCTACCCTCTGTAACTAAGGGAAAAATATTTCTGAATATCTCCTTCAAGATAACAGTTATAAAAGAGTCCAATAGCACCTCAAAGGCTAATGACATTTATCCCAGCTAGGCTTGCCAAATGTGCCCGGGGGGCGGGTAACCCCCTGCCCCCGAAGCTGCGTCACACGTTGCCGACGTTGGGGGCGTGGCCGAGCTCGTCGGGGGGGAAACCATATGTTTCCCCCCCGACGAGCTCGGCCACGCCCCCAACGTCGGTAGCGTCTGACGTCACTTCTGGTGACGTCGCGGCGGCGCGTGCGCGCACATCCGGACTGCTCCCGGACGGGACGCAGCCTCCCCCGCCGGTGAGTGAAAATTATTTAGCAACCCTAATCCCAGCATTGTTAATTAAGGTACTAATGTACACCTATTTAATTTTAATACAACAGACTTAACACGGCTACCCCCAGGAAATTGATTGCAACTGGAATCTATTTCCCAAAGCGTGCAACAATCAAGAGGGTTGTGGGATGTGGCCTGAAATAGAGAAGGCAGAGAAAGAAATACTTTTCTCCCTTTCTCACAATACAAGAACTCCTGGGCACTCCATGAAATTAAGGAGGAGTAGGCTTAGAACAGATTTTAAAAGTCCTTCTTCACCTAAAGACTCATTAAGAAGAAGAAGAAGAAGAAGAAGAGATTGGATTTATACCCCACCCTTCACTACCCAAAGGTGTCTCAGAGCGGCTTACAAACTCCTTTCCCTTCCCCTCCCCACAAC